ACATGGTGTTAATGGATTGAATTGTGTCCGCCAAAAATGTGTGTCAACTTGGCTAGGTCACCATTCCCAGTATTGTGTGATTGTCCACCATTTTGTCATCTGATGTGATTATCCTATGTGTTGTAAATCCTAACCTCTGTGATATTAATGAGGCAGGATTAGAGGCAGTAGTGTTAATGAAACAAGACTCAATCTACAAGATTAGGTTGTGCCTTGAGCCAATCTCTTTTGAGATATAAAAGAGAGAAGCAAGCAGAGACACAGGGGACCTCGTTACCACCAAACAAGAAGAGCCAGGAGCGTACATCCTTTGGACCCGGGGTGCCTGTGCGAGAAGCTCTTAGACCAGGAGAAGATTGTTGACAAGGACCTTCCCCCAGAGCCGACAGAGAGAGAAATCTTCCCATGGAGCTGGTGCCCTGCATTCAGACTTCTAGCCTCATAAACTGTGAGAGAATAAACTTCTGTTTGTTAAAGCCACCCACTTGTGGTATTTCTGTTATAGCAGCACTAGATGACTAAGACACGTGCTAACTCCACGTTTAACCTTTGGAGGAGCTGCCAGTTTCTCTTCCACAGCGGCTGCCTATCCTACAATCCCTCCAGCTGTGTGAGGTGATCATGGGACTCTGCCAGCCGTGTGGCAGGCGAGGCGTGTAGGGAGCTGGTGTGGACTGAGGCCAGCTGGTGAAGCAGCTGAGAGGTCACACAGCCACATGACACATTCTCAATCATCCATCTGGCTCAGACTGCGGTCTGGCCCGTGGTGACCCCCGGGCTCCCACACATCCCTTCTCCCTGAAACCTGTTGTAAAAATGACCTGGGGATGGTGTCTGACCTCCTCTAACTTCACAAGCGGTAAGGAGAATCAAGATCAACAGCCCAAGGCTGATCCCTATGAGGCAGAGGTCAGATATGACTCCTCTCTCCACCATGTTTACCAATTCTGACACCAGCCGTTCCTCCCACGGCACTCTCCACTTCTCTGCTGGGTTCCGTAATTCATTGCAAAGGCCGCACAGAACTCATAGACAACACTCATGATTATGGGGTTTATTAGGGAAGTAACAGTTACAATTCAGGCTCCGGAACACTCACGATACAGTTCTTCCATTTTGCTGCTGTAACAAAAATACCACAAGCAGGTGGCTTTAACAAACAGAAATTTATTCTCTGGCAGTCTAGGAGGCTAGAAGTCAGAATTCAGGGTGCTGGCTAGAGGGAAAGGCTTTCTGTGTCTTTCGGCTCTGAGGGAAGGTCCTTGTCATCAATCTTCCCTTGGTATAGGTGCTTCTCAGAGCAGGGACCCTGGGTCCAAAGGACTCACATGCTCCTGGCTCTTCTTGCTTGCTGGTATGAGGTCCCCCGTCTCTCTGCTCGCTTCTCTCTTTTATATCTCAAAAGAGATTGGCTCAAGGCACAACCTAATCTTGTAGATTGAGTCTTGTTTCATTAACACTACTGCCTCTAATCCTGCCTCATTAATATCACAGAGGTTAGGATTTACAACACATAGGATAATCACATCAGATGACAAAATGGTGGAAAATCACACAATACTGGGAATCATCGCCCAGCCAAGTTGACATACATTTTAGGGGAACACAATGCAATCCATAACAGCAAACATTGATGATCTCTCCCTCCTCCTGGAGACACCACCAGCCGCTCCTTGGAAACCCTATGGGGCTGTTCTACTCTGTCCTGTAGGGTTGACTATGAGTCAGAATCACCTCGACGGCAACTTTCAGGTTGGTAGGTAACTCAGGTAAACCAGGTCTAAGCACTCTGCAATTATCACCCATCAACACCCAATGAAAGTGTTGCCAGGAACTCTGGGTTCCGCTCAGCGCAACTCCAACAGGGCCAAAAAGAGACGGAGATGGGGAGAACGGAACACAGCTTTATCGGCTAACCAAGTGCCTTCCAAGACTACTCGCAAGCAGCGTGTTGAGGCTGGTTTATATAGGCGGGATCAGTTTCAAAATACAAAATGGCGTGCGCATTTTAGAATGAATAAGCATTTTCTAAGACCTGGGTTTGATTCCCCATGCAGGAAGAAGTTCTTAAAACTAAGAAAAAATGGCTCTATGGCTCTAGCCCTGTCTTAAAAGGAGCCCTGGTGGTGCAATGGTTAAGCTCTTGGCCACTAACTCAAAGGTCAGTGGTTCAAACCCACCCAGCTCCACTGGAGAAAGACCTGGCGATCTGCTCCCATAAAGATTACAGCTTAACCCTGAGAGTAGGGCCCTGGGGACACCCTTGTAGCTCAGAACTGAAGCCCCGAATTTCACCCTTCGGCCAAAGATTAAACAGGTCCATAAAACTTAAAATAACACACACCAGGAACGGGCTTTGTAGCTCAATCATGTGTATGAGACTCAAGGGGCACGCCAGCCCAAAAGCAAAGATGGGAAGGCAGAAAGGGACAGGAGGAGTGGATGGAGAGAAACGAGGAAGCTGGGGTGGAGAAGGGGAGAGTGTTGACACATTGCGGGGTCGGCACCCAATGTCACAACACAATTCGTATATTAATTGTTTAATGAAAAGTTAATTCTCTCTGTAAACTTTCACCTAAAGTACAAAAAAAAAAAAAAAGATTACAGCCTAGAAAACCTTTTGTGGCGGTTCTCCTCCGTCACATGGGGCTGCTATGAGTCAGAATCCACTTGACAGCACACAGCAGCAACCACAATTGTACTATGAAGTGGGTGCTGTTTCACGGGGCGAGGAGGGGCGCTGAGACAAAGGGAGGTTAAGCAACGGGCTTCAGAGCGCACAGCCAAGTCTGAGGCCCGGAGGCGCCTCTGCCTTCCACCCTGCCACCTCCTTCTGCTCCATCCTCACGCCTGGTGACCCACCCAGGCCATGGGATCTCTTCCCCTAGGCACTGCTGACATGGGGGTTGGATCCTTCTCTGGGGTGGGGGCCGTCCTGCGCACTGCAGGGTGTTGAGCAACATCCCTGGCCTCCACTCACTCGATGTCCCTACCACCCTCCTCAGTCGTGACAACCACAAATGTTCCCAGACGTTGCCAAGTGCCTCTTGGGGGCAGAAACACCCAGGGTGAGGACCTTTACTCTAAACTCCCCGGAATGCCCACCTCTGACCGCCTCTCCTACCCCCTCCCCGTGCACATTCCAAGCCAGCCACACTCGCCTCCTTGCTGCCAACACACTAGGCTGGTCAGTCCTACTCAGGACCTTTGCACGGGCGGTAATCTCTGCCAGGTACACCCTTCCCTAGACACCTGAGTGGTTCCCTCTCTCTTCTCCTTTGTATTTTAGCTTAAATCTCTCCTTTCTGCCTTCCCCGACCTCTGTCTCCAATACTGCAAGCTATCCCATCTCCATCTTCCTTACCCTGCTCCACTTTTTCCGTAGCAATGTCACCTTCAGACATATTTCATCATTCACTTATTATGGTCAGTGCTTGTGATTCTGTCTCCCCTGGAACGTCAGGGGCTCCTAGTCTGTTTTATTCACTGTCTCTTTGTTGCTTGGGTCCCTGAGTGGTATAAATGGTCTGGGCTCGGCTGCTAATCTAAACGCTGGTGGTTTGAACCCACCCAGTGGTGCTGCGGAAGAAAGGCCTGGTGTCCTGCTTTGGTTAAAAACTAAACCAAACCCATTTCCACTGAGTCGATTCCAACTCATAGCAACCCTCTAGGACAGAGTAGAACTGCTTCATATGGAGCACAGGTGGTGTACTGGTTAAAGAATTTGGCTGCTAACCAGAAGGTTGGCAGTTCGAATCCACCAGCCGCTCCTTGGAAACCCTATGAGGCAGTTCTACTCTGTCTTATAGGGTAGCTATGAGTTGGACTCAACGGCAATGGTTTTTCGTGTTTTTTTTTTTTAATAGAATTTCCAAGGTTGTCATCTTTACGGAAGCAGACTGCCACATCTTTTTCCTGCACAGCTGCTGGTGAGTTCCAAGTGACTTTTCGGTTAGCAGCTGGGTGCTTAACCACGGAGCAACCAGGGCTCCCTTGATAAGGACTACAGCCAAGAATGCCCTATGGCACAGTTCTCCTCTGTGACACATCTGTTGGCCGGTAGAAACCTCAGGTTCTGCTCAGCGTGACTTGTTACAGCCGATACACGAGAGGCTGAGGTGGGAGATCAGAAAGACACCTTTATTTCGTTGTACAAGGAAAGGGGCAATCCGGGCTACTGCCTCCAAGGCTGCGCACATGGGGTCGCCATGAGTTCGAACCAACTCCACAGCAACAGGCTTTGGTGTTGCTTAGTGACTGAATGGAATGAATCGCTAAATAAGTTACTGATCACCTTCACCGTGACAGGCGCCGCGCTGGACGAGCCTCCTTTATGAACTCGGGGACATGACGAGAAGGTCTGTCAAGACCCACTGGGTCTGCGGGCACCGAGGCGGCGGCCAGGCTGGGGGCCAGGGGAGAGTGCGAGGTTCAAGATGGAGGTGGGAGCCTGTGTCGAGCTCTTCCCAAGCACGACCATCCTTTTAGATCCTCACTTAACCCTCTAAAATTGGGGCATTTATTATCGCCATTATACAGACGGGGAAACTGAGTCTCAGGCACAGCCCTGGAGCCATCATGCAGAGACGACCCCATACACTTCGATGCACACACATTTATGGGGTGCTTCCTAGACTGCCCGACTGTCCCCGGGAGCCAGGTAGGCCCCTGATACCGTCCGGGGGCCTCAGTTTCCCCATCTGCACCCCGCCTCCGCCTCGCGAGATTCTAAACGGCCGCCCGAGAGCTTGGTGTTGAGCGGAAACTACAATTCCCGAAAGCCCTTGCAACCCGAGCATCGCGAGAACTGCCGGCGCAGTGGTGGGCGGTGATGTTTGCACCGTCTCTCGCGCAGCCAACCGCCGCTTTAGGAAGGCTCGGGCTGCCCTGGGCGCTGCCGGTTCCAGAGGTCGGTGCCTTCAGGCTTTCGCTGAGGCCAACCCTGTACAGGGTGGAATTAGAGGGCTTGGTCGAGGCTTCGCGCAGGCGCAGTCCGTGCGGGTCCTGACTAGCGCAGGCGCAGTACGTCGACAGCGCGACACGAAGCGGCCATGGACGACGAGGAGGAGACGTACCGCCTCTGGAAGATACGCAAGACTATCATGCAGGTGAGGAGCGCGGGAGGCGCCCCTGTTTAGGGAACGCGATCGGGGAGGGCCTACCTACGCCAGGTGAGCTGGACGCGCAGCGGTCAGGTAGTTCTCCGAGGTGGGAACGAGCGTGGCATCTCCCCTTTTCCTCCGTGCCTGTGGCTGGAGCGGGGGTCCCCATGGCCACCCCAGCCCCCTGGTGCTGGGTCTGCCCCAGGGGCGCTGCCTTACCTGCCCCGAGCCCAGTGGCGGGACCCCTGCGTCGGGGCGGGCAGGGAGGGGGTCACAGCACGCCCAGGTTGGGGGCTTCCAGAGGACTGAGGGACCCCACGGACCAGCGGCCGAGGGGAGAGGCTGAGAGGTTCGGGAGGGGTCAGGTGTAGGCGGGAGTTGGGGTTGGGGAGGGTGAAGGGGCCGGAGAGGGAAGGGGCAAGTGGCGACAAAGAACGGGGGGCGTCCTTGGAGGGTCCCTGCTCCGCCCCAGTCACGAGCTGCGCATTTTGTTACTTTATCCTGGACCTCGGCGAGTCTGGTGCCCTGAGGCTCGGGGCGGGTTGTGATTGGGAAGCGGCGGCAGAGCTGGGGTTTGAGCCGGGGGGTGTTGGGTCCAGGGCAGATGAAGACAGAGCTGGGAGGGACGTCCTGGGCAGACCGTCCCTGAGGGTCAGTAGTTGTGGGTCTCACCCCAGAAATCAGGGCTCTTTGAGCAGATGAGTCTAGAAAAAGACGTATATGAAGAAAGGGAAGGTCAGGGCCGTGGGCTGGTCCTCACCTCCTCCCCCTTCCCTCTGTGAAGTACCCCGAACAGCTCATTCCCTCTCCTGAGGGCTCACACCGAGGTCTCAGCCTGAAGTCACAGCTATTCCGGCTTCTGTCTTCAGGGTGGCTTTGCAAAGCTTCTGAGAGGCAGGGTTCGTCTGCTCAGGTGTAGGCCGGGCGGACTCCCGGGGGGCTGGGTGGTCTTGGTCTAGGTCCTTGCCTCTTAGGACCTCTGGGGATGGTGGGCCACGTTTCGAGGTCACCAACAAGACATGGGTCACAGACAGGCGGTGGAACCACACTTTACTCACACAAAGGAAACAGCGGGGTCAGCTTCAATTTGGCCTCCCGTCTCCCACAGCCAGTGAGTCCCCATGTGGCCAGTGCGGGGCAGATGTCCCACATGCACCCCTCTTGCACTGAAGGCGAGAGACTGCGTTTTCTCTCCGCCGAGAACAGACAGAATTGGGTTGGCCAGGGACCGTATGGTTCCCTGTGTGTGAACAAGCAACAGAGGAAGTTAGCCTGTGCCCAGAACTGGGAGGGCGGAAGAGACCCAGTTCCAGCCTCCTTATCAGAGAATGCTCTAGGCCCGCAGCCTCTGCTTAGCCGGCCTGAGGAGGAGGCAGGAAGGCAGCCCGTCCCCCACCGGGGCTCACACTAGTGCGGCCCCGTGGGGCGGCCACGGGTTCGAGGGTGACGGCGTTCACCACTTGGCTGTTGCTGCTCCGTCCTGTCCCCCTGCCTGGCCTGAGGCTGCTGGCGGAGGTGTGCCCGCCCTGTGTCCTGCACAGCTAGCGTTTGAATCGCCGCGGCCATGTCCGACACCAGGGTGTGTCTGTTCAGGCATGCTGCAGTTCTCCTCACCCTGAGGTCCTGGGCCCTTTTCTCTGCAGCTGTGCCACGACCGTGGCTACCTGGTGACACAGGATGAGCTGGACCAGACGCTGGAGGAGTTCAAAGCCCAGTTTGGGGACAAGCCGAGTGAAGGGCGGCCACGGCGCACAGACCTCACCGTGCTGGTGGCCCACAACGATGACCCCACCGACCAGATGTTCGTCTTCTTCCCAGGTGAGGGCCCTGGCGGGTGCACACAGCTCCCTGCTCCTGAGGGAACCCAAAGACAATGTTTCTGGTGGGGTTGTCAGAGCTCCTGCTTAGGTGCAGCTCCTGGCACCTGCCTGTGTGTGGCCCTCCTGCCTAGCCTGGGGACAGAGCTCCCTGCCCCTCTGCGCTGGGGGCAACACCACTGACTTCTGAACCCTTTGAGGGTTCCTTCACATCCTCAAAGTCTGCTCCGGTTTCCCCCATCAGTCCCTTTCTAAATGCCTCGGCTGTGATCTCCCGCAGGATTCTCACAGAGGCATCCCACCTGGGGCCCTGCTCCTCCTCCTCCTCCTCTTCCTGTCTGCTCCTCCTCCTCCTCTCTGCTCCTCCTCCTCCTCTCTGCTCCTCCTCCTGTCTGCTCCTCCTCCTCCTGTCTGCTCCTCCTCCTCCTCCTCCTCCTGTCTGCTCCTCCTCCTCCTGTCTGCTCCTCCTCCTCCTCCTCCTGTCTGCTCCTGCTCCTCCTCCTGTCTGCTCCTGCTCCTCCTCCTGTCTCCTCCTCCTCCTCCTGTTTGCTCCTCCTCC